AAAAAGGAAGCATTTTTAAAATGTAAAAATATTTCATATAATTGTCTGATGGAACATCTGTGAAATATTTTTTTAAAAATTTCAAGTTACAACAACAACGCCAACTACAACGACTACAACACCAAGTACACCCATACATGGTAAATATTACATTATATATATATATAGTATATAAAGTATAAGTGCGGGACTATTACAATGGGGCAGTATTACAGAGAGACTGTGTTACAGTGAGGCAGTATTACAGAGAGAGTGTGTTACAGTGAGTCAGTATTACAGAGAGAGTGTGTTACAGTGAAAGCAGTATTACAGAGAGAGTGTGTTACCATGAAAGCAGTATTACAGAGAGAGTGTGTTACCGTGAAAGCAGTATTACAGAGAGAGTGTATTACAGTGAGGCAGTATTACAGAGAGAGTGTGTTACAGTGAAAGCAGTATTACAGAGAGAGTGTGTTACAGTGAGGCAGTATTACAGAGAGAGTGTGTTACAGTGAAAGCAGTATTACAGAGAGAGTGTGTTACAGTGAAAGCAGTATTACAGAGAGAGTGTGTTACCATGAAAGCAGTATTACAGAGAGAGTGTGTTACAGTGAAAGCAGTATTACAGAGAGAGTGTGTTACAGTGAAAGCAGTATTACAGAGAGAGTGTGTTACAGCGAGGCAGTATTACAGAGAGAGTGTGTTACAGTTAGGCAGTATTACAGAGAGTGAGTCTTACAGTCCTGTTAAAAGCCACGAGAAGTAGCCAAATGACTCCAAATTTTTGTTTTTAAATGTAAAAAATGTTATATAATTTTCTGATTGAACAACATCTGTATGGAATAGTATCTGTATTACATTTTTAGAAATTTTTCAATTTCCAACCACAACAACAGCTGAAATGACAACTACAACGACAACAACTACACTTAACCCTGATAAATAGAAAATTACATACAGTATGTCACAGTAGATTCTTGTCAGTCACAATTTGAGAGTATTAGATTATATAATTTAAAAAAGGAAGAATTTTTAAAATGTAAAAATATTTCATATAATTGTCTGATGGAACATCTATGTAACTTTTTAAAAAAATTTTCAAGTTACAACAATGCCAACTACAACGACTACAACACCAAGTACACCCATCCATGGTAAATATTACATTTTATATAGAGAGTATATAAAGTATGTATATGTTATATTAATGTATATGTAGCCATATTACATTAATATAAACCTTATGCAGCCATATTAGGTCAGACTAAACCTCATGGAGCCACATTACATTAATGTAAACCTGATTAGATAAAATAAGATGTATGTAAAAATGTCACTGTGCAGCACTATATTGAGGAAAGTGCAGATATGTGCAGACATGACATAAAGTAAAATTAATCAGATGAGCTAAGGATAGAATTACACAATCTGATAGTTACCAGGAACAAGGACCCATGAAAGTGCTCCCTTCTAAACCAAGACATGTAGCCACATTATTAATATAAATCTTATGCAGCCACATGATAATGTAAACTTTATGGAGCTACATTATATTAACATTTAAACCACAAATACCCCATAACTAAATACTACCTCAACCACAAACATGGCTAAATACCCACTCTGCCACAAAGACCCCCACAGCTAAATGCATGTAAATACCTGTAAATATTATGCAGTCACACTGAACCTTATGTATCTTTATTCTTGCAGTGGGAACAATCTTGTACCAACCACCAGGTAAATAAATTTCAATTTATATTTTATATTATGCCAAATGACAATACTTTTCTCAGAGTAAGAAATGAAATAATCTCCAAACTGCTAATACCCACACAGCACATTTTGTTTTGTTTTGCAAAACATTAATGTAAATCTTAGAGTCATTATTTATATTACATTATGGTAGCCTTTATGCAGTCACTACTTCAATATAAATCAGGCAGTCACATTATATTTTTTTGTAACTTTAATGCAGTAACATTACATTAATATAAATCCTATTGTCACAGCTCAGCCAGAGACAACAAACTTAGTTTCCAAGTATCCTCAGCATGTCAGGTCTAGATACTTCCCCAGATCACACAGACTCAAATTCGTCACAAAACACTTATCCTCATTCTTCATTCCCAGATTTCTAATCACACACACCTGTTCTCAATAGTGTGTGTGTGAAGTGACTTGTGGCTAAGTACAGTGACTCATACTCAGAATTTGTGCTCTGCATTTAACCCATCCAAGTGGGGGGGGGGGGCCTTGCTCAAGGGTCTCACCTTATGGTCATTCACTCCCCCACCTACAATCCCTGCCAGCCTGAGACTTGAACCCACAACCTTCAGGTTCTAAGTCCGACGCTCTAACCATTAGGCCACAGCTGCCCCAAAATACAGTAGTCTTACAGTATAAGGCGCACACTTACACTCATGCCCATTATGAGGTTTCACTCCTGCATTTTGTAGTGACAATTTCAAGCCAGCCTCTCTAGTGTTTTCTCTTTTTGGGCTTGACTTACTTAGTTTTGGTTTCCAAGTTTGCCCTTCCATCTTCAGTCCTGTTTACTGATCACCTGACCTGTGGCCATCCTTTAGACTCTTAGTAGCATATAACAAAGGTGTGGATTAGAATGTAACAAATTAAAAATAACTTGCTTTCACTAAGGTGACTCATCACCAAATGTGGCAGGCAGGAAGGTGGGACCTAAAAAGATGGGTTAAAGCAATGAAAATATCCACACACAATGTGTGGCAATTGTAGAAAAAAATATCAAAGAAGAAGGGTTTATTTGTCACATGTACATTAAAGCACAGTGAAATTCTTTTTCACATATCTCAGCTTAGTTAGGAAGCTGGGGTCAGAGCACAGGGTCAGGCACGATACAGCTGTGGCAGCTTGGCAGTGCTGGGGCTTGAACCCCCAACCATCTGATCAATAACCCTTAACTCTTGAGCCATCACTGCCCTCACATGAAAGCATAGTGAGAACTCAGACATTTTATAGAGTTTTGAAATCCTGGCCATATGCATTCTTTAGATACCCAAAAGAGGACATGTCCGGGAAAAAGAGGATCCATGGTCACCCTAGTGTGTGCACACTTTATAGCCATATGTTTGTGGTATTAACACTAGTGTATTGTACACATATTTGGCAGATGTGTCACACATTTTCATCCAGCTCTCACTAGCCATCAGCATCATGCTAGTATGCTAGTGTATTCACTAATGGAAAAACAATGTGAATATGAGAAGCTGCTATATAAAGCCTACAAAAAGCCTTGCCTTCTAGCACTGCTTCGTTGGACCCATCAACTCTCAAGCGAAACATGCTTCAAGGTACTTCTCTGTCCTGGCATCTAGGTGGTGGAGTGAACTTCCCCATGGTTTTCTGAACTGCTGAGTCACTGGCTGTCTTCAAACAAAAACTAAATGCATACCGCTTCATGAAGCACTTAAATTAGCACTTTATTATTTAAAAAAAGGGATGATGTGCTTTTGATGGAGACTTCCACAGTGAAATATCCCAACACAGTTACCCCAATGCTAAATACCCCCTCAACCACAAATATCTATCTAATTATTCCAACCACAGGTACGTCCAGATCTAAATATCCCATCAACCTCAAATACCCCATAACTAATTACCCCCTAAAGCACAAATACCCCACAGCTAAATACCCCCTCAATCACAACTACTGCCCAACTTTAACTACCCCTCAATAAAATATATCACAATGAAATTCA